TATATCTTAGTATATAGTATATTAATATATACAACTAAAATTACTAATAAAGATATAAGCAAAGCCTTACTTTAATATCAAAAAAATTATTATTATTATTATTATTTTTAAATAAGTAATCAGTTACTTAGCCAAATTGGCTTTATTAATTAATAATATTTTTAAATATATTTATAGTTCATAAAAGTATAACTAGCTATATATACAACTTTAGTTATTGTCTATTTAAAAATTTTACTTTAAAATTATTTACTATCTGTTATATCTAATCTTTGCTTATAAGTATCTTATTTAAATTTTTTAATTTATTTCTAATTAGTATTTATATAATTTTAACTATTTTACTTTAAGATAACTAATTTTATACTGTCTCTTATTAAAAATTATTTAGATTTGACTTTATTTTCTTTTGTTTTAATACCCAAGCTGTTGCATATTTTAGAACTTATTATTTGTTAGTAAGGTTTCTAATTAATTTATCTATCTACTCTATAGACCTTAATAGAGCTATACTCTTGCAAAGTTTATCTAAATTTAAATACTACTTTATAATATATTTTTAGTACTTTAGTATACTCTTGTATTTGTTTTTAAACTTCTAATTTAGATAGCCTAATAGAACTGTAGCTTGTCTCTTAATATATTAGGTTAATTTAATCTTCTTTTTTTCTAGTTTGATTTTAATAATCTAATTAGTAATATCTTTTATTTAGAGATTCTTGCCTATTTGTTTTCTTAATATTAGTATTTATTTCTTGGATCTAGTCTTTATAGTAGTACTATTAAAGATCTGTGTATTTCTTTACTTAGGTTTTCTAAATAGATTTTTTGTTTTTACAGTTTTTACAGATTTATATAGCTATAAGAACTTATTATAAATTTGCATTGCTTAATGTTAGTTTGTATTCTTTTATACAACTAATTATATAAAAGTCTTATAACTTGCTAGTTAGTTAGTGTAATTATAATTACAGATATTTTAATCTAATTATTAGTAAATGATTGTTATAACATAAATAAAAATTTAATTTTTGCTATTAGTAGATTTTGAACTTATAACTTGTCACTTGAAGAGGTAATAACTTATTCACTTTACTAAGTTATTACACCTTTACAAAAAAATTTTTTTTGTTAATAAGCAGTTAATTGCTTAACCAAATTGGTTTTATTAGTTAATAATATCTTTAAATATATTTATAGTTTATAAAAATACAGCTAGCTATTTATACAATTTTAGTTATTAACTATTTAAGAGTTCTGTTTAAAATTATTTACTATTTGCTATACTAAACTTTTGCTTGTAAATGTCTTATTTAAACTCTTTAACTTGTTTCTAATTAGTATTTGTATAACTTCAATTATATTACTCTAAGGCAAATAACTTTGTACTACCTTTTAATAAGAACTATTCAGATTTGACTTTATTTTTTTTTGTACTAGTATCTAGAATATTGTATATTTTAAAACCTATTATCTACCAATAAGACTCAGAGAGCCTTTAGTTAATTTATTTATCTACTTTACAGATTTTAACAGAACTATATCATTACAAAGTTTATTAAATCTTAGTATTACTTTATAACATATTTCCAATATTTTAATATATCTTTGTATTTGTTTTTAAACTTTTAATTTAGATAATTTGATATAACTGTAATCTGTTTTTAATATATTAATTTAACCTAATATTCTTTTTGACTGATCTGATTTTGACAACCAGATTGGTAATACTTTTTATCTAAAGATTCTTTTTTTTTAATATTAAAATAATCTTTTTGGTCTTTTAACTTTATTAACACTTTTTTTAAGTAATATAATTTTATAAAAACTATTACAAAAAAGTGTACAATTAGCTACATAAGGATGCATTATATATTAATTAATTAAAATTATGTCAGATATCATAATAAAAATTAATAATACAGATTTTTATTTTAATGATTATTGAAACCTAACAAATAGCTACAGCAAAATAGTTAAAATTAAAACTATTTAATCGAAATAAATTATATTATTAAAAATTTTTAGTTATTTGCTATTAGTTAGTAATCATACTTGGCTGAAAAGCTAAAAGTGCTTAGCTATTAACACAGATGATCATATAAAAACAGTTTTTTTAATATAAAAAGTTGTGTTCAATTTAATGACTACATATTATTCTAATTATGGATTTATGACACTATCACTATGATATTAATTTTATTAATATAAAAATAATTCTTTAAAAAAATTATCTGCAGCTTGCTCTTGCTGTTTATTTAATTAGAAAACTAAAATAGTAGAATTTTGTTAACATGTATGTTTATTTTTTTGAATATCTTTTAATTGCTTATTAGTAACTTGAATTTCATCTATTTTGGTAATAGAAAGACACATCTTAGATTGCTAAATAGAATTAGTCATATTAGAGTGAGTTTTTAAATCCTATTTGTTAAATAAACCCTTAATTTGTTGCTAGTAAACAACAATATACCAAATCCTATTTTTGACAAAATCATAAAGCAAAGGGTATTTATGAAGTGAGATATTTGATTCCTTAACAAACAAGCTAAATTCTAAAAAAAATGATTTATTACTTAATGCAGTTTTAAGACCAAAATCATTGAGCCATCCTTGTGTAATATCTATTTTAAGAAACTTTGCATAGCAAAGTTCTTTTAAACTAGAAAATGTTGGCCAAGTTTTTTTAAGAATAATGTGCCAATAACTATAAGCAAATTGTTGTGTATTATCTCTCTCAAAATAGCACAAACTTAAAGGAAAATGAACCAACAATTTAACCATTTTTGGTGCAATGCAAGATCTTTTTATAAACCTTGTTCTAATTTTTGAACTAATAATTTTAATTTTAAATTATTCATTATTTCTGTTCTTTGTAAAAGTTTAGCACCAAAAAAATAAAGATTTTTTATAATATTTATTAGTTTATATATAGAATTAAGAATAAAATTAGGCATTTGGTATGCCTGACAACCAGATAGTAAATGCTACAACTTATTTGTTTATATAACTCTTAATTGTGAATTATAATTAATGAGAAATTTGGCAAACAGTTAATAAAACTTTTTATCAAATTTAACTAAACACTAAACTTCAAGATTTAATTTAGCATTAGTTAACTAATTATAAAATAATTCTCATTTTTGGATATAAGATGCCAGAGTCTTTTTTAAACTTTTAAGTTTAGAAAGAAACTATGTAATAAATTTTAAGTGAATTTCATGTCTTTTAAAATATTGCTTTGCAATAATTAATTCATATTGCTATCATGAACATAAAGAGTATTAGTATTTAGTTAAATTATATTAAATCATGTCTTATAGAGCCTCTAAATTGTTTCACTTCTTATATTTAACAGTAAATCTTTATCACTTTGATTATAACTATCATGTAATATCTATGCTAAATAAAAAAGGTTATATGGGTAATGAGTTTTCAAAAATTCAGTATTTGTTGAAAGTTTTTCAAAAGCAGTTTCTTCAAAGTTATTTAGAATCAAATATAAAACATGTAATCTGCTAGAATACTAATACAACTATTTTGTATTAATTGATTAAATTTACAATACCTTTTCCAACTTAACTACTTATATAGTTTGTGTTGTCTGTAAGAAAAATAAGACATTGCTTAGTATTTATATTATATTTTGCACATGTTTCTATAAGAGCCTAACTAATTGTATTAAAATTGCATCATATAAGATTCTTTGTTTTTAAAAGTACTGTATTGGATATATTTTTTGTAGAATTTCAGAACATAAAACATTCGACAAGTATTTTTTTTCACCTTGTTCTAACTTATTGATTATGATTCCAAATAAGAAATAATCTGACTGGTTGGCTTGATAAAATATATTTTGTATATATAATTCTGAAATTTTATGATACCAATATCTAATTGTTGTAGTTGATAACCAAAACTAAGTATTATCTCTAGTTAAAAAAATGAAGATCATTATTATACTTTCTGCTGCAATGTTAAAGGAAATTTAATTTATTTAAAAAACTATAGTAGTAAGTTTCATAAAATCCAAATTATATTTTTTCTTATTTTGGTAAATTAAATTTTGAATTATTGCTTTTATATCATCAATATTTAACTTTGATAAATGTTTAATTAATATCTAAATTCAGGATATATATTAATTATATTTACATTTAAATTGTACAATAGAACTACTAAGTTGTTAAACTTTGTAAACTATATTATTTTTGATTTTTCAAGCTTATTAAGGTCACATTTAAGCTGTTTGTTTTAATAATTCAATTTATCAAATAATTGTTCAGATTTGTAATAAGAACTTGATAAATATTGACAAACTTTGTTTTGTAAATATAGCAATATGATCTGATTTTTATTTTTCCTATATGAATATCATATAGTATGTAAAAGAGATAATACTAATTTAAGAATGAATTCAGGCATTTCTTTAATAGTATTAATTATTGCATCATATTTCTTAGATAAATTTAATTTATTAACTTCTAAAAAATTACAAACAATATTATATATTTTTTGAAGTTCAAAATCAGATGCTTTTTTAAATAAGTAGTTATCTTATTAATAGTATCTTGATATTGATCTGATTTGTGTTTTAGAGCAAATGATTCATGTGCATTTTTTAGTTGCAATTTATGTTTAGAAAGTTTAGACATATTCAAACTTTAAGAAGATTTAGTGTTAAAACTAACAAAAAAAGGTTTGATAAAATTTAACATAAAATAGGACAACAAGTTTTTCTTCAAAGTTACAGTTTTAAATTTTTTCTAACAAAAGCCAATTCAATACAAAAGCCTTTACTTTTTAGCTTAAATATATGTATCATTAACAAATACAAAATTCTTTTTAATATAACATTTAAAAATGGCTATCTAATTAAAATATTTTGAACTATAAGTTTCTTTTGTTATATATATTAATTGTTTTCAACAAAAAACTATCATCAAAAAATGAATAGTAAACAAATTGAATCAATTTTTCAAATGCTAACTTTGCAAGTTATAGACTAATAAAACTACTTAATGATTTTGTCAATTAATTTATGCACAAAATCTGTACTATTAATTTTTACTATAATACTTAATATAGTTTTAATTAGAGATTAGGCCCGGTATAAAATTTAGTTCTGGGTTACCCGTCCGCTTATTAAACTCTTATCCGGGTAACGACCCGGTTAACCCAGTTGACCTGGTTAACCCAGTTATGATACGTAAAAATTACCGAATTAGCTTTCACGTGTTTGCAGAATTGTAGATAACCTTCCAAGATCGTTATATTTATTAATTCGTATTATTAACACTCGCAAAATGTATTTTATTTAAAATAAGATCTAATTTTTATTTTTTTTTGCCGAATACATGTTTGAAATCAAGAAGAAAAAAAAAATCTATTTAAAGGGTAGGATAATATAAATATATTTAATACAAGATTATAAATATAGAATGTTTAATTCTTTATGTAATACTGATTATCTCGGTATTTCTTTTTAGGAACAATATTTGAGAAACAAGATCTGGACTAAGACGGGTTTGTTTTTGAGTTACTTGGTTGCCTGCATCAGAGAATAAACGTTCACTAGGCACCGAGGTAGCTGGTATAGATAAGTATTTCTTTGCTAATTTACTCAACTTTGGAAAGTCTTTTTCACATTCTTTTTACCATTCTAAAGGTTTAGTTGTTTTTGAAGCAATCGGCACTTTACTGATATTCAAATATTTATCTAATTCGTTATTATCATCTAATAGATTATCAACAACATCATCATCATCAAATATTGACACAAAATAACGATTAGTTGAAGTTACATTGGAAGAAGCGGTTTGAATAGGTATTGTATCAGTAATATTGTCGAGTTCTTGACGGCATACTCTTATTGCTGTTTCTCGTAGACGACTAGACATAGGACATATTTTTTTGAGCCTTGGGTCTAACAAAGTAGCTAAAAGACTAGAATGTTTCGGATTGCCCCAATATTTCAAAAGAGAATCACAAATAGCCTGCTTAACTTGAGCAATTATTGTTTGAATATTGTGGGGCTCTAGT